AGATTCCACATCAGATTGCTGTCTTCCGCTCCACAGCTGCTTGTTTTACACTTTAGAGTGCTCTTCTCATAACTAACCGTCAGTCCACCATGCTGCTGCCGGTGTTGTCATGGTCCCCGGCATCTCTCTTTTACTTAAACTCAGTCCAGCCCTCAACAGGGATTGTTGGTACTTATTCCTGGGGACTACTACCACTTCTAACCTACAGTCCTGACGTAGCGTCTGAGCATGCTACCCTTGACACTTGCACTCTCTTCTCTGGTTTCAGCAAAGCTGTCAGAAAAGGTAATTCAGTGCAAACGATGCTCTAGTCTCCTGCTCAGTGCTCTTCAATGGATTCTTGTGATATAGAGAAGAATCCTTATGCCTCCCTCGGATTAGGCAGGCCCTCCAGGATCTGTTCCCTGCCCATCTTTCCTGATCTTATTTTCTAACTCCCTTACCTTGCCTAACTCCCTCCAGCATCCCTGGCCTTTCTCCTGTTCCTCACGCACGCCACGATGTGAGAACATGGGTGTATTGAAATGTCAGACCCAGCTGAGAAGAACTTAATTAAAAACGAAAAAATTGAGAGTGGAAAGCTTCAAGAAGGTGGGAAGGATAAGATTCTAAGACTAGGTGGAAGTTTGTCGTATCCAATAAAAGAAATGTCTTCTTCAGTCTCTCTCTCTCTCTCTCTCTCTCTCTCTCTCTCTCTCTCTCTCTCTCTCTCTCTGTGTGTGTGTGTGTGTGTGCTATGTAAATCTTCCTCAGGAGCCACCTATCTTTTTTTTTTGAGACAAAAATCTCTCCTTGGCCTGGGACTTTCCAAGTAGGTGAAGCAGCAGGCTGGCCAGGCTGCACTTGTCTCAGACTCCTGAGTGCTAAAAGTGTGAGCATCTACTGCCACACCCAGTTTTTTACAAACATGGGTTCTGGGGGATCAAATTTAGAACTTCACTGCTTGTGTGGTAAACACTTTGGTGTCTGAGCAAACACCTGAGCCCTGCTTCCTCCAGTGTTGTCAGGAGAGGAGACCAGGATAGAGCAGAACTGGTTGCCGCGTCAGAGTTCCAGATAAGAGATCTGGGAAGGAGAAACAGCAACAAACCTTATTACAAGAAAACCTGCCCCGGGATTGGCCTCAGCTCCAGAGACTAGATCAATGGCTTGGTAGGCACTCATCAGAAAACCACCCCCCATTAACTTCTGAATAAATTAACTGTTGAACTTAGAAACAAAACACATGTGTAGTGAGACCTTGCACTCCAAGCCTCTTTCCTCCTGTGTAGAGCTGGAACAGTAATGATACCCGCTCTGATGATTAGGACAGGTAATTACACGGCACTCTGATACTCTTCATCTGTCCGAAGTCCCAGCTCGGCTGCATGCTCCAAGTTTGTTTCATTCTCTGTGATATTACTCGGAAATGATCATTTATGAAGAGAATAAATGAGAGAGTGAATGAAAGCGTGGGCTTCAGAAGAACATAGACTTGCCATTTCATAGTCGTGGGAGAAGCCACTGGAAATTTTCTCATTGACAAAGAACCTGTTGAATCTTAAGTAAGAGATCCAGTCTTACCATGGGTGCTGTGGGAATGTCCTTGAGTTATACATTTGTCGCACTCACCTGCAGCAAGATGATCAGAGCCACTAAGACTCCTCTTCTGCCCTCTGCTTTCTTCAGTGCCCCTCTCTGTTTCTTGCTTTGCATCAAATGCTGAGCTGGGCATACACGCACACTCCTGTATCCACTGGCTTATAGGTTGGGAACTACTTCATCCCAGATGCTTTGGATAAAAGAGTCAAGATCCACAAGGATCTTGGCAGATTGTCAATTACCTAAAGTAGAGGAGATGAATTTGAATGGGACTTAGAGTAAAGTAAGCATTGAGGCTTAAGGAGTGTGAGTACAAAGAACGGATAAGAGGAGCTGCACAGCTGCTTCGTACTGAGGGAAAATGCAACAAGACAGACATACAAAAACGCAGGGAACATAATCGGGGAGAAGCCATGCAAAAATAATACTTGTAAGGAGGTTATCTTTCAACAGAGTTTATTTAATGTTTTTTTTTTGTAATATCATGTGAGTTCCATAATTTGTTAAAGGAATAATCTCTACAGCCGAAATAGAACAGGATTGAGTTTATTCTTTGTATCTGGCCAGAGCTAGTGGCAGCTTTCTGGTTGGCCCCCAGGCTCTAGATCAAGAAGCAGTTGATGACATTGGTGTGAATTACAATTTGCCCTATTCTAGATCAGACCTTCAGTTCTGTTTTTCCATTGAGTCAAATGTAATTTCTTTCCCTCTGCCCTTTTGTAAGAATTGCTCAGGAAATGCTCCTAGACAGCCAGCTTAAGTGAAAATAAGATTTTGGCATTCATGAGATACTCTCCCAAGTGATCCACCCGCATTATCTCATTTAGTCTTCATCTCAGCCCTGCGAGCGTGGAGTTTTTTTCTGTGAGGAGTTGAGGTTCCGAATGGGGTAAGGGGGTTCAGTGAGACCAAACCCATCATTAGAACTTTCAGGTTACCAGATTAGACAGGGCTACAATCAAAGACTGTTTCTTAGCTGCACCCTTCCAGAGGAGACCAGCACAGTTAGTGAGCTCAAACTGACACATATGCCCAGACACTAGATATTGTGGAGAACCTGTCACCCCCAAACAAACATGATTATTCATGGCCATGTCTTGGGCTCTGATCTGAAAACTGCACTCTGCCCAACCAGTGTAGTCCAACAAGGTCTAGTTCTAGCGAAGTTTTCTACCAGGCAAATTCCTCTTGCTTAATAAAAGAGCTTGCGGTGAAAGCTGAAAACCCAACCGCAATTAATTATTGACAGAGCATGTGAATTAGAGATAAAAAGAAGTCATTCTTTCTCCACGCAAGTGCTAGTAAATAAATTTAATTATGGTAGGAGAGGCTAAGGGATCTTTGTCTGTATTAAGTTTTATTAGCAGAGACATTTAAAAGCATGTCATCATAACAAAGAGGTCTTGTGTAATCCTGAATGTACCACTTTAGCGCGGGGCTTGGAAGTGAATGGATTTAACGGAGTACCTGGTGGCAGGTGGCCCATATACCATCAGGTATCGAACATGTTTCTTCTCAGTTAGCACTGGTCTACATAGGCCTATGGCAGACTGACTGCATAATAGGATCGTGGGCCTCGTTTTCAAACACTGATTGATCCTCTGCTTTGGGTTGGAGGAAGTGGCATCAAATTGTCTCCCCAAGGGAAAATGTGAATGGAGGGATGGAGTCGGAACATGGTTTTGTCAAGGAGACCAGTAGACAAGAGCTGTGGGGTGGTATCTGTATTAGCTGGCATCTTTCTGTTACTTTAACAAACATCTAAGACAACCAACTTAGAAGTAAGACTTATTATGGCTTTTGGGTCCAAAGATTGAAATCCATGGTTGCTTTGCCTCATTGGTTTTGGGTCTGCGGCAACAAGTTTATCATAGGAGGCATATATGGTGGAAAAAGCCCATTCTTCTCATGGCCAAGACATTAAAGTGAGGAATAGAGAGGAGATGCTAGGGTCTTAATATGCCCATTATTTAAAAAATATTTTTAGATTTATCTGTCTTATATGTAGGTGTGCTTTTGCCTGCATGTATGTTTGTGCACCGAGTGTAGGCCCGGTGCCTGCAGAAATCAGAAGGGGATGATGGATATCCTGGAATTGGAGATACAGTTCATTGCAAGCCAAGCCACCACGCAGGTGCTGGGGAACAAATGCAGTCCGCTGCAAGAGCAGCCAGTGCTTTCAGCCACTGGGGCCCCCTTGGTAATCTCTTAACATGCCCTTTCGAAGCATGACTCCAAGGACCTAAATTCCTCTCCAATGCTCCACCCTTAAAGACTCCATCACCCTACCCAGGCTGGAGACAAAGCCTTTAACCTATGGCTTTGGGGGCTTTTTAAAGATCCCAGCTAGAGCAGGCTCTGTGAGAAGTTTACAGGGCAAACTTAGAAGCAAAGAAAGAAGAAAACTGTGTGTCTTGTTCCCATCCTATGCTTGCATTCTCTGTGTCACTTTGTTCCCAAAGGAACTTAAGGTGAGTGTTAGGATGTTATAATGAAGATGTCATGGCCCAGGGATGTGCTTAAGTTTTCTGCAGACAGAAAGCTTGTCTGATTTCTGTCCCTTCTTTGGGCTTCAGTTTCATCATTTATACAACAATGTTTTTGGACTAAGAAGTCCAAGGTTCAGAAAAACTACTTAAAAGTAAAACAATGCATTTTCCAGGTTCTGTGGGTCACATGCTTGTTGCACCGACTCCACTTGCTGTTTATGTTACAAAAGCAGCACACACACTATCTGTAAGTGAGTAAGTGCGGCTGTGTCCCCATGAAGGTTTGTTTACAAGCACTGACATTTAAATTCTGCATAATTTCCATGTAGTACGCAATTCTACTATCACTATCATTTGGGTTTTCCCCACAACCATTTAAAGCTTATAAATCCTTCTTAACTGTGACTCACAGACAAATAGAAGGCAGTGAGAATTTGCCAACCCTGGACCAGATAATCTTTGAGGTCGTGTTGAGCTCAAACATTTCCTGAAAGCTACTACAACAATAATAAAACCCTTAATTTGTTAAGCTCATGCACACATGAGATTCCATGCTAAATGCTTTTTCAAACATTATCCCCCTAATCCGCACACTACAGTGTGAAGTCGGTGCTATCATTACCTCTGTTTCAGAGATTTTAAAACTAATATATAAAGAAATCTAGGTTAAACACAGCTGGTAAGAGGTAGACAGGCAGTTTAAATCCAGGGACACAAGACTCCTAAAGAATAATACATAAGCCTTAGGCTGCCTTTTCCAATAATTGCATAGTCAAGCTTACAGTTGGTACATAAAAAAAAAAAACCTTCCCAATGTTTATTGGTTCTATTTGGTGCCTCCCACCTTTGTTATATGGTGCATAGAATTTGTGGAAAGATATCTTGGGTATGGTAATAATCACTGTATTTCACCTTTCTTCATTCTTCTAGAAATGTGATGCCCAAGACAGTGGACGGGCAGATAACCATGGAGAAGACGCCCAGTTACTTTGTGACAAACGAGGCTCCCAAGCGCATTCACTCTATGGCCAAGGACATCAAACTCATCGTGGTGGTGCGAAACCCGGTGACCAGGGCCATTTCTGACTATACCCAGACGCTGTCAAAGAAGCCAGAGATCCCTACCTTTGAGGTGCTGGCCTTCAAAAACCGGACCCTGGGGCTGATTGATGCCTCGTGGAGTGCCATCCGCATCGGGATCTATGCTCTGCACCTGGAGAACTGGCTGCAGTACTTCCCGCTCTCTCAGATCCTGTTCGTCAGTGGAGAGCGGCTCATAGTGGACCCTGCAGGGGAGATGGCCAAAGTACAGGATTTCCTAGGCCTCAAGCGTGTTGTGACAGAGAAGCACTTTTACTTCAACAAAACCAAGGGATTCCCCTGCCTGAAGAAGCCAGAAGACAGCAGTGCCCCAAGATGTTTGGGCAAGAGCAAAGGTCGGACTCATCCCCGCATTGACCCAGATGTCATCCACAGACTTCGGAAATTCTACAAACCCTTCAACATGATGTTTTACCAAATGACTGGTCAAGATTTTCAGTGGGAACAGGAAGAGGGTGATAAGTGAGGCTTACAGTGTGGAGGGAAGGCTAAGAAATAGCAAGGATACTCTTTACCAGAGTCCCACATTCCCCAGGTTCTGAAGCTTTGGCCATGCTGGAGTGCCAAGTAGATTGCCAACCTCATCCAATCAGGCTACTTCCAATGTTGTGGGCTTAGGCAAAGGTATAGATCTCATGGCATCCCTGTGAAGGAACCAGCTGTACCTGGTGGACAAGGTGGCCACCAGAATCTACCATGAATATTTAGCCTCTACTAGTTAATAGAGGCTTGAAGACAGGATAAACATCTTCCAGTGTCAAAGACGTATGCTATGATGTTGAGGAGTGGCAAAAAGAAAGGAAAGGAAAGGAGAGGAAAGGAAATGAAAGGAGAGGAAAGGAAAGGAAAGGAGAGGAAAGGAAAGGAGAGGAAAGGAAAGGAAAGGAAAGGAAAAATAGGCAAGAAGGAAGGAAAAAAGGATAGGAAAGAAGGAAGGAAGAAAGAAAGGATAGGAAAGGAGGAGGGAAGGCTAGGAAGGAAGGAAGAAAGGAAATAAGAAAAGAAGAAAGGATAGGAAAGAAGGAAATAAGAAAAGAAGAAAGGATATGAAAGAAGGAAGGAAATAAGAAAAGAAGAAAGGATAGGAAAGAAGGAAGGAAGGAAGGATAGAAAAGAAGGAAGGATAGGAAAGAAGAAATAAAATAAGAAAAGAAGAAAGGATAGGGAAGAAGGAAGGAAGGAAGGAAGGAAGGAAGGAAGGAAGGAAGGAAGGAAGGAAGGAAAATGTACTTTGTAGGAGCTCTTATTGTATTTGTCTTGGGAGTCTGGATTCTAACCTTGTGTTTGGTACATAAACTTCTGCTTTGGCATCTCTCCAGAATGTTGGTGGTGGCTGAGAGCTCCAAGACTCCCAAGGAGCAATATCCTCCCTCCAAGCCTGTCTAGCCTTCCCATCAAAGGCTTCATCCCAAAACCCTTTGACATTATCCCTTCCCACAATATGAAGGCAAAGGCATGCACGTATGTTCCTCACCAAAAAATAGCCTACACCCCTAGAGCATTCTATCAGAGAGCCTTCCAAGATGGGTCTCTCTCTTCACGAGTGTTCCAAATTACAGAGAAGCTTAGCACACATCCTCACGTTGGAATCTGACCCACATGAATGCTTCTAGAACAGGGAGACAGCAGCTATGATTTGAGCCCTGAGGTTGGCAAAGATGAATGCCTATACGTGGGGGGTATAAGAAAAAAACCGAGTCCTCTAGTTGGGAGGCCCCCTTACCTAACGATCCTCTTCCCTAAGGATCTTGGTCCTGAGGCATGTTCTAGGTATAGGCTCTGCCCTAGAGACAAAAACCATAGCTTGTTTGTTAGTTGTTCTGAGTAACCCTTCAGGATGCAGAGAGGAAGGGAACACTCAACGTTTTTCTGTTTGTCTCACCTCTGCCCCCTCAGGGTCACCTCATGGCTCATTTTCTCTACTCCTAGATGGTATTTATTGGGCCATTGGCAAGAATGCTGATTTGCAGTGTGAAGTGGGTGGGGAGGGCAAGGACTGTCTGCAGACATCCTTTTCAAGGGCTGCCAAATAAAGTGTCCCTTCCCATTAGTGTGGCCGATGGAAACAAAGCAGTTGACATAAAGCACTTGTTCGCAGATCTCCAAAGCCAGAAATTGTAGTAAAATTGGAAATTTGTATGAGTGGGGAGCGTGGAATCTGTTCGGCTGTGATTAAACTGTCATTTCTCCCACTAAATGGAAACTGTGTTGTTATAAAGCTTAATGCAACCTGATTGATGGGCTTTAATGGTGTATTTGTGTTGGTCACTTCTTCTCCACCAATACACTGGAGCACAAGGAATGGCTTTGTGCAGGATGAACAGAGGGACCAGATTTCTGAGTATTTAGGGGTTTCTGTGTGCAGGGCAGGATGCTTCTTACAGCCACACAAACACTATGGCTTGGGAAGGAGGTATTAGGTTTTCCATCACCCCATGAGTGATGGACTGATAACTCAGATTCAAAAACAGCTGCACAAATATTTTTTTTCCAGATAAGAAAAGTTGAGCTGGAGGCAACAGATGTGCCAAAGTCAACAAAGATACAGATCAAAGGACACGTGCTCACATGTTTAAAGGAGGGGGGTGTACACATGCAGAGAAGGTGGACTGCATGGAGTTGACATGGGGATTGCTCTGTGAGCAGAACAAAGAGGGAGTGTGTGTCAGCCCTGGCTGAATCACCCGTAGACTTTGTAAAACACATATGTCTAAGCCAAGTGTGGTGGAAGACACCAGAACCACAGCAGTCGAGCCTGAGGCAGCCTCTGGGCTTTGAGGCCAGCCGATGGCACACAGGGAGACATTGGCTAAAAGTAAATACATAAACAGAAGGGGAAAAGAAAAGGAAAAGGGGGGAGGACTAAGGCAGGAGGAAGGGAAGGAAGAAGTAAGGAAAGAAGGACACCATTTCCTGAGCTCTAGACAAGACCTGTGGTGAGATTTACTTCAAAGAAATGTGGCCCCAGGTTTTTTTTTTTTTTTTTTTTTTTTTTTTTTTTTTTTTTTTTTTTTTTTAACACTACAAGGAAGGATATATTATCTTTGCAGAAATGTGTTCTGTTTGGGATTTCAGTAGTAGCTAGGTTATAGTGACATCATAACTCTGCCAAAGGGCAATGTTCTAGAATACCTCTAAAGACGTTCTGCTACGGGCTAAGAACAGCCATTCCCAGCCTGCCCTCCTGTCCCGTTTCAGATGGACACATCTTGATTAAGCTCTTCAGTCTCCCCAGTCTGCCTGTCTTCATAAGCCTATGAGATTCACGTTTAAATGATGCTTCCAAACAACATAGCCTTTAAGTTTGTGTCCTTGCATAAATATTCCATATAAAGATGACAAACCCATTTTAATATGGTTAACAAGAGGTAAATAAACCATTTTCTTTTGTGAAATAAAAGTTTGGAAAACTCCCTCTTAAGTCATTTGTATTCCATTCTGTATAAAGAAAAGGCAGAAGACTAAGCCTCAAGAAGATTTAAAGCAAAACAAAAACAAAACTTCCATTTGGCAATATATTTGAGTCTTGAGGCTGAAAAGAAATGCAAATTTGGCATGCTTAAGGTCTGATTTCTTCGGTGGCGACTCTTCCTTTGACTTTCTGACTCACAGTGAACGGCTGGGCTTTGTCCCTGAGTGTGAAGGCTTGCTGAAGGAATCATTATCTATCCATAAAAGCTAAGCCAACTTGCCAGCATAGAGTCAGGTTAATAATACTTCTGCCCCATTTAAATGTGAGCATGGCAACTCCCAGAGAGACTGAACTTGGTATTTGATTTCAATTAGCAAAGCATAAATTATATTTAATGCTCTGCTCCCCGCCCTTCCCAGGAATGGATGATTCATGGCTACTGCTTGTGTTTCTAAATGAGAAGAGAGTCCATCCTTTTGAATAATGCCTTATAATTGCTGCTGTGCTCATTTCAGTTTAAAAGTGTCTTTGATACCCGAGAGATACAGAAGCCATGACACTGTAGCTAAAGTTTACGAGTTCGAAGCTCCACACACACACACACACACACACACACGCACAAAATCTAAGAAAATTACTTAGCAGACTCATGCATCTTTAGCTTGTGAATGGACACCATTATGTGGAGGTATGGCTGTTTATGGAAATCTCTACAAGCTTAAGGAAGGAACATCTTCAACTAACTTCTGCAGATGAATGTGGCTGCTCATTCCTATAATATTAGGATTCTCATCCGATCCTTCCTTTTCTAAGCCTCTAACTCCTGTTTTTTCAGGGTCTTGACTTACTGGAACCCTCCTATTACTCCACCCTGTTATTTCCCAAGGAAAGCTTCTCCACTGGCTCAATGCTGTCAGAAAGGGTAACTAGCTGTCTTTTATCCCTGCCTATATGTGTGGATTCTACAAAAGAAACTACCAGTCTGACTTATCTTCAATTTTTATATCTGTAACAGAAGTATATTTAATCCTTACCTGGGTACTACCCAAGGTTTCCATGGAGATGAAAATGACTTAATAGAGAGGGAGACATCTGAAAAGAATAAAATGCTTATTGACAGGAAGGATGCTGATGAGAATGATGATAATGGTGTTGGTGACACTGATGCTGCAGACTAAGGATGAAGATGATGGTGGTGATGGGGATGAGGATGCTAATTACTACAAAGATGAGGGATGAGGAGGAAGAAGGAGGTAGTTTCACAATACTCTTTCCAGAACAATATATCTTTATAGTATTCTAAAATAGTGTTGTTCAGTAATTAATTATACTGTTTTACTCACATTGAATAATCATGAAAATGCTGAGAGAACGTGAAGCACACTTGATTTGCATAAAGCTCAGGACAGGAAATGTTTTAAGAAGCTCCCTATAAACAGAAATAAGATGGCTGAAATTCACGCATTCATATGCAAAATCTCCCTCCACTCTACCTTGAGGGAAATTCACCTCACTTTTTCTAGCTTTTCCCTTGTTCTGTATCAAAGGCAGTGCTTTAGATTTTACAAGGACCCAGGATTCAACAATGCAGAAAAAGCTTTCAAGTCATGAGTTCACTGTCTGAAGTTCTGGCTCCTTAATTCTACCTGATCGACCAGGTCGGTTGAGAACCTGGGTCCAAGATTGTATGTTTCAGAGTGTGTCTGCTTTCTCATAGAAATGAGGAATTTTCATTTCCAGGTAAGAGGTACATAAGATCACATCCTAGAAATCATGAAATATGATGTGGTAATACAATATGACCTATGACATCCAAGAAGGAAATACAAAAGAAACCATTGGGTATCTGCAATGGGAAATGAGCAGGGATCCCTGAATACAGGAAAACAACTGGGCTTTATTTTCAGTCTGTTTCCTTCACTCTATTACTCCATACACATCTATAGGGTCATCACATGGCAACAAAAAGAAATAGAGTGAAGGCGGGGAGAGGTCTGAGAGATGGCTCAATGTTAAAATCACCATCTGCTCTCCCAGAGGACCCAGTAAATGCTCTCTAGAGAAGGGACCAACAGAGTGGATGCATGTCACAAAATATATTTAGTAGACTGGATTTCACAGTGAAAGCGGGGGAGTCCCAAAACTGGTCTTCTGCATACGGCATGTGGTCGAAAAAAATGACAAGGTCCATAATGCTGTATGCCTCCACAGTCAAAGGTATCAAAGGCCAGAGTATTCTGGAGAGCTGTTGGTCTTCGGTCGGTGTTGGAAGACTGGGGGGATCTAGGTTCTGCTGTTAGCTCTAAGAATGAGGAGAAGCACTCACAAGTAATGAGGCAAAGCCGGGGGGTCAAAATCAATGATTTTTACCTTTCTTGAAGCTACTTCAATAATGCTTTCCCCTTCTCTCCTATCAGAAGTGCAGGAGATACAGCAGCCCAACCAACTGATTTCTGCAGGGAATGTTTCCACAAATGCTGTGAGGAGGGCTTTCTCAGTGGCAGTGATAAACTGTCTGCCATGCTTGCCTCGCTGCTGTGAAATACACACACTTTCAATGACCTGCTCAAAGTCAGCAGGTCCTGTGGGGGTGTTAACCGTGCTGGGAGCTCCCCATGCAGTTTTCTAGCCCGTGCATATACCTTTCCACTGCTCCTTACTGTCTCTACATCCACTTGGAATTGGAACACCGTGACCAAGTTGTCTATCTCCTTGAAATGCAGGGATGGTTCAACAAATGCAAATGTACAAATGTAACAAACTGCCTAAATGGTCTTAAAGGCAGAAATGACAGGAT